GAAGAGGGTGCCTACCCCGTACACATGGGCCTCCCAGGCCAACCCCCAGCGAGCCCTGGCCTCTGCCCAGTCGGCCTCCAGGGTCAGGAAAAAGAGGGACAGCGGGGCTGCAGGAGGCTGCCCCTCGCCTTCAGGCAATTCTCCAACGTTGCAGGACCCTGGCCCGCACTCTGGCTGCACGGAAGGGTTTCCGAGGCTGGTAGGAATGGGGTCATCTGGACCGGAGGTGGGGATGGTGGCGTCTGTGGGCAAAGAACATTTGTCTGAAGCAGTTGTGCAGCCCTCCCCTGCCACTCCTGTTCTCCCCACAGCCAGTAGCCTGTGTGCCAGTCAGAGTCCTCATGGCACCCAGGACACCCGTCTTAAATATGAGACTGGACCTCTCACCTTCCCCTCCCCCATCAAACTCCTCGTGCAGTCGTCTCAGCTCTCATAGACCCCACTCCATCCCACCCCCAGCCACCTGCTTTGTGCATTTGCCTTCCTCACTTGGTGATTCTACTGCAAAGGGTTTTTCTTAAGAAGTCCCAGAATTTGCCCTAGCCGGTTTGGCTCACTGGATAGAGCGTCGGGCTGGGGACTGAAGGGTCCCAGGTTCGATTCCAGTCAAGGGCATGTACCTTGGTTGCAGGCACATCCCCAGTGGGAGGTGTGCAGGAGGCAGCTGATCGATGCTTCTCTCTCATCGATGTTTCTAACTCTCTATCCCTCTCCCTTCCTCTCTGTAAAAAATCAATAAAATACATATTTTTTAAAAAGAAGTCCCAGAATTTTACAACTGGAAGAGGGACGGTGGAAGCCCCCTCTAGTTCAATGCTCCCACCTGAAGGGAAGCTTCAGAAGAACAAGCAGTTTTGTTTGCTTTGCTCACATCTGAATCCCTGAGCCTAACATGGTGCCTGGCACAGAGTTAGCGTTGAATAAATGATATCCCGGACAATACAGGATATACACGGAATAAATGGATACTCTTACTTGCCAGGTGAAGATACTAAGGGTCTGCTGAGAGGCAAAATGATTTGTCCAGGTCACAAATGACAGAGCTGCCACTGGAATCCATATCAGAGCCCCAGCGGAGCCCCTTTCCAGAATTCCAGAGCCTCTTCCTAGTCCCAGTTGCTTATCTCTTGTTCTGCACCTCTGACTCCCTGAGGCTCCCCTGCCCTTTTTCAACTGCTTCCCTATCTCTTCAGGAAAAGCCTCTACACAGACACACAGACACACAGACACACTGTTGTGCATGGGGGCGCCTACACACATATGCAGCAGGAGGAAAGGTGAGACATTCCTGCCCCCACCCAGCACCCTGAGGAGAATACCTTTCCTATCCACTTGCCTCCCTGCTTGCTACACCCCCACCCTCTGCCTCCCCTTGCCTGTGATCCCCATCCTGACTCAATCACAAAGTCATTGGTCTAAGGCTCTTAATATAGATGCCTCTTCAGTTCTAGCTCCATTTTCTAGAAGGTGGCATTGAGAATGGACTCCCTGGGGCTTGAGGCTACCCTTGAACTCCTAGGAAGAAGCAACTGGGGAGATCATAGTGGGATAAAATGCTGAGTGAGTGAGCCCTTCAGGGATTGCTCTGGGGTTCGATAACTCGGGCTCCCAACCTCATCTTGTGCTCCAACACCCTGAGAGAAAGGGAAGTCTAATAAGAGGTGAGGAGTAAGATCTGTATTTCTACTCTCCTGGAGCAATAGATGACTTAGAAAGAGTTAGATCCAAAAATTCTCCCCATGGCCGGGCAGCAAGGGAGGGTGCTGGAAGCGGAACCTCTCCCTTCTCCACCTACCAGGCTCAGCAGAGTTGCAGCTGCAGGCAAGGGTGGAGGGAGAAAGAATGGACTCCCTGGGGCTTGAGGCTACCCTTGAACTCCTAGGAAGAAGCAACTGGGGAGATCATAGTGGGATAAAATGCTGAGTGAGTGAGCCCCTCAGGGATTGCTCTGGGGTTCGATAACTCAGGCTCCCAACCTCATCTTGTGCTCCAACACCTTCCCCACATCTGAGAGAAAGGGAAGTCAATTAAGAGGTGAGGAGTAAGATCTGTATTTCTACTCTCCTGGAGCAATAGATGACTTAGAAAGAGTTAGATCCAAAAATTCTCCCCATGGCCGGGCAGCAAGGGAGGGTGCTGGAAGCGGAACCTCTCCCTTCTCCACCTACCAGGCTCAGCAGAGTTGCAGCTGCAGGCAAGGGTGGAGGGAGAAAGATGGTGGAGAAGGGTGGGGACAGCCTGATGCGGATGGGGAGGTGCACAGGAGGCAGCTGTAAAATGATGGGGGCGGGTCTCCTGACAAACAGACTCCTGCCCCAACTGCCTGGCCTTGCCCAGCTATGCCCAGCACCCATGCCTCAGTGGCACAATCAAGAAGACCCCAGGACCACCCCCGCCCCAGGCTGTGCCAGCTCCTGCTGGGGACTTGCAAAACAGAGCAGTCCTGAGAACAAGGAAAAGGAGTGAGGAGGCAGAAATCGGCTTTGGGAAGAGAGGATGGGAAGACAGAATCAGACAACTGCAGAGGGCGGAGAGGGAGCAGCCAAAAAAGTAAACTTCCACAGCTCACTGCCCTGGTCCCTGTTCCATCGCATTCACCTATGAAACGGGGAAGAGTACCCACTGCATAGGCTGCTACGAGGGTAAATGGCTGATGTGTGCGGAGCTGTTTGGAGTACCTGGAGCATAATAAGCATTCAATATGTGACTGTTGGTGGTGTCATCGTTATTGGCTAATGTCGATCACCAGTCATCCGCTTGTGATTGTTAGTGTGACCATTTCTGGCCTCAAACTAGTTCTCAGTTTAACTAACAAAAGACTGTTGTCCCTCTGCACATCCTAAACTTGCTTAGAAAATCAATGATTATTCAAATGAGTGAACATCAAAACATTCGCACTTTGTAAACCCTGTTTGAAGAACACTGTTTGGATGGACTGACCATTCCTGGACACCTAATGAAGACATAGCTATGAGGCGTTAAAGACACAGCTGGAAAGGACAGCTTGCTGGTGAGGGGTGGGCACCACATGCTCCCTCCCTCACCCTCACGCACATCCTAAACTTGCTTAGAAAATCAACGATTATTCAAATGAGTGAACATCAAGACATTCTCACTTTGTAAACCGTTTGAAGAACACTGTTTGGATGGACTGACCATCCCTGGACACCTAATGAAGACATAGCTATGAGGAGTTAAAGACATGGCTGGAAAGGACAGCTTGCTGATGAGGGGTGGGCACCACATGCTCCCTCCCTCACCCTCATTCCTTGGTCTCCTCAGATGCCCTTGCCCAACCCACTTCTTCTACAAAGTGGATGAGTTTGCCTGGTCTTTCCTTGGCCGCGGTGGGCTCTGCAGCAAGGCAGGGAGACCGTGCCCAGGAGCCCCACCAGCCTGCCACCCGCACGCCTCCTCCTTGCTCACTGTACAGACAAGTGCAGCTCTAGAGGTCTGCTCACCCGAGGGCCACGGGAAACCCCATCTCTCACCTCTGTCCCAAAGCACTATGGCAACTAGAGCAAGTTTCAACATTCCTAAGAAGCCAGAAAAGGAATAAAAACCAGAAAATAGGCAAAGTACAGGCACGGCTCAGGTGTCAAAGGAGGGAGTTCTAAGTAGATGCACTGCTCCCAGGGGGCACGGCATGCCCGGTGTACCCAGCACTGGGCCACGTGGGTGGGGGCAGGTGAAGAAGACCCAGCTACTGCCTAAAGGGTCTACTTGACCTCAGCCCATGTCTCACCTTTCGCGGCTTCCCCAGAGGAGCCCTCAGTTTCCCCCAGAAGCGAGTGACTTCCTAGGATCCCTCTCCTGAGCAGGCCTCCCTTACAAGACGGTCCCACTCTGGCCCTGCGGCCCCTCTTGACCTCAGGGATGAGGGAGGAGATGGGATGTCAATGTGAGTAATTGGTGAGGCTGAGCTCGCTGGGGAGGAGCCCGGAGAGGAGGCCGCTGGATTTATGGAGAAGTCAGGCCTGATTATCCACCAGCTGCCCAGATCAAAGGGCAGGCTCCACTGTGGATGCTGGAACCGGCAGCCTGTTCAATGTCCTGGCCCCATCCCTCTCCCCACCCCCACCTCCAGGGCTATGGAGGATTGATACGTTTTGTGAGAGTGACATTTGAAATATTTAACAACTGGAAATGGTACAGGTGCCAGCGAGGGTGGTCAGGGAGTGGAGGGGAGTGGAGGGGGCTAAGGTCAGTGGGTACTTATCAAATGAAATAAAAGCCTTTCACAGCCTAAGCAACTGTTTCTGTGTGTACTGGCTGAATACAAGCTCTGTCCTAGGTCAGCGGTCGGCAAACTGCGGCTCGCGAGCCACATGCGGCTCTTTGGCCCCTTGAGTGTGGCTCTTCCTAAGCCTTAGGAGTTCCCTAATTAAGTTAATAACAATGTACCTACCTATATAGTTTAAGTTTAAAAAATTTGGCTCTCAAAAGAAATTTCAATCGTTGTACTGTTGATATTTGGCTCTGTTGACTAATGAGTTTGCCGACCACTGTACTAGGTGAAGAGACCTAATGCAAGGCAGCAGAAGCCCTGGGGTCAAAGGTTAACTGCACCTAAGTTAGAGGTCCTAGAGGAGACAAAGAGAGACTCCCTTTGTTCCCTGATTGACACCACTCCCCCCACACACCGCTGGTTCAATAGGCCCCTTGGCCTTCTCTCCGAGGGAACTGTAGCTCTCTTGGTTTTGTCCAAGAGGAATACTCAGGAAGAGGCGGGGTTCCTGTAGCCATCAGTGAGGAGGGGGAAGGAGGGTGGGGCTGGCGAGCTGGGCTGCCTCTGATACTGTCCAGACTCATTAAACCTGCCTGGCAGCGCTGCTGTCACCAATGCTGAGAGACTGCCAGGCAGCATCCTTCCCCTGAGGCCACAGAGCCTGCCCCCAACCTCAAAGCAGATCCTGGGCAGCCTCCTGACCCACATGCCCCGGAGTGCAGTGAGGAGCAGGAGTGAGCCAGAGTTGGGTGTGTTGAGTCTGGAGCTGCAGGAAGCTGGGCGACCAGTGGTTTCCAGAAGCTGAGCTGGTTCCTAGTGTGGGGTGGCTGAGAGGTTTCACAGCTACAGTAAACCCTTTGCAGAGCAAAGCTGGGCCTGGAGGTCCCTCTCCATGGCTCCCTCAGCCTCACCCACCAGAACCTCTCCCCAGCCAGTGTGCCTTCTGTCCTGTGGGTTATGTGCTTTCCTATCACATCTTGGGGCCAGTGTCTGCAGTCTCTCAGAGGAAGGGTCAGGAAGTGTATTTGCAATGAGTGGGGGAAGAAGCAAGGTTAACAGCTACTATTTAATGAGCTTTTACTTTGTGCCCATCCTGATGCCAGGAGCTTACATTATCTAGAAACTCATAATAACAGAATAGGTACTATTATTAAACCCTAGATATCTGAGAACATTTAGGCTCGGGGACACGAAATAACTTGCCCTACGGTCACCCAGCCAGTTAGTAACTGGGATGCAAAGCCAAGGCTCAAGATTCCGGAGCCCCTGGTCTTTCCTCCGCACCAGCAGCTTGTCTGCATGCTTTCTTGAACAAGGATGGCACCTGTCTGCTCAAGATCTTCCCCATGAGAGGCCCAGCCCTGCCCATATCTGACAGCATGTCAGGTCAGATCAGGCAGCAAAGGAGAGAGCCCCAAGTTTGGGGTTGGGATGGGGAGTCAGGCCAGACAGCCTGGAGTGGAGGGTGGGGTTGGCACTGAGGCTGTGGAATTCATGAGGGAGTTCCTGTGTCTGTTTGCCCCTGATAATTTGTCTACATCCTGCTCTGCCTGTGATTGCAAAACTCCCATAGGACCATTACTTAACTCTGTGTGGGACTGGCCCCGGCAACACTTGTTCTCAAACCATTAATATGTACCTCCATGGTGATGATGAAGAGAATGGTGATTATGATTATAATGACAATGAAACAAAAGGGTCCCGGGACACCCATTAGCGGCTAGCCTGTAGCAAGTGCTCAATAAATAACTGTCAAGTTCAAATGAATGGGACACTTACCTAGTGATGTTGCTGCAATGGAGGCAGCGCTCAGGGAAGCAGTTGGGTCTAGTGGGCCTGGGCTTGGGAGCTTTCTCTCCAGGGAGGATGGGGGTGGGGACAGAGTGGTGCCAAAGAACCCTGCAAAGGGAGCACGCGGGGTTTGAGTGCCATCTTACCAGCCTTGGCCTCTGGGCTTTTGGTGAAAAGCCGGTCTTTCCCCAGAACTTGCCCTCAGAGAGCCACCGTCCCAGGAATCATAGCCACATGTCCACCAGGAGCTATGCTCCATGGACCAAACCAAACTCAATAGGGCAAAGAGGGAATCTCCTCCTGGGAGCAGTGGCCCACGTCCCAGGGCCAGGAGAACGCAATGCAGACCTCCCCTTGAGTCAAGGAAGAAAGGGCAGGGCGTGCTGCATAGGCCTCTGGGACAGTGCCTGGCATGCAGAGGTAGTCTGTCAGTGTTCATTGCAATGAAGTAGACACTCACCCGGCGAATCCGAGACTCTGGAGGCAGAGCTTAGGGATGCCGTTGGGCCTGGGGGGCTCACGCCAGAGAAGTTCCGGAGTGGGGACAGAGTAGTGCCAAAGAACCCTGCAAAAGGAGCCCGGGCTGAAGCTTCCTCCTGCCTGCCAGGCAGCCCAGCAGGGGCGCTCTTCAGGGCGGAGTGGGTACTCACCAAACGGTCCCAGGCGCCCAGCAATCTCTGCCAGGCTGGCCCGCAGACTGGGCAGCAGGGGCAGAGTTCGATGCCCGAGCGTGGGGGCTGCGCCTGCTCTCAGTGCCATGTCAAACTTCAGTTCCAGCTCAGTCTGGTGGGGCCTGGGGGCACTGGATGGAGGGGCTGTAGCCATCAGAGCAGTGTCCCAGGTCACCGTACCCATCCTGGGCTGATAGGGAGCCGTAGGTCGGTTGGTGGGCCCAGAGATTAGGGATGTGGATTCGAGAGGCAGGGAGGAGGCCCAGGGTGTAGCACTGCCTTCAGCAGAACCCCACTCTGGGGAGTAGTTCCCCAGGGAGCCCACCAGCAGTTCCCAAAGGGGGTCAGTCCTCAGTCCACTGGCCACCTCTTCCTCCAGCTCCTGGCTCGGTCCAGGGGACAGTGGGTGAGTCTCGGTGACAGAGCTCCCCCAGGCCGCAGCAGGTCCCCGAAGGTGGAATTTGAAGTTAAGTCCCAGATTGAGAGACAGCATAGAGGCCTCGCTCTGAGGGGGTGGGGTCAAAGTAGTGAGAGGGGCGCCTGGGATGGAGGAAGCAGGCTGGGGGCCCACAGGAACAGCGAGGAGGACCCAGCAGAACAGCCCCAGCCCCAGACAGCCATGCCCTGCCATGGCCCCACTTGGTCTCAGGTAGCCTCAGTGGGTGAGGGCCTCCGTTCTTCAGCACCTTTTGAGCACGAAGGTCCTGGAGAAAGGAGAGGCACCATGAGCCCTGGCTGCCTGGGGTGAATGGCCCAGAGAGAGGCTTCCCATCACAGAGAAGCAGGTAGTGGGGGCAGGATGCAAAGGGTTCTGCCCAGCAGAGTGCCAGCTCCTTCCTCCTCTCAGGGCCCAGCACAAATCTCTCCCCCTCAGTTTCCCTGAGGCTCCCTCTCCCTGAACCCCTGCCTCCCCCACCTGCTCAATTTGGGGTGAGACCACAACCAGCTGCTCTCATCCTTGACTGATAGTAGATGGGATGGACTTGACTCCCAGACTCAGATCCCTTCCCATCCTCTCTTCTATCCTCCCTTCCAACCTCAAATATTTATTGAGGCTACTGTTTGGCCAGCACCCTTCTGGTAATACAACTGTGAGCAAGCGAACCCTCACAGATGAGTCTCAACCTAGGCCCACCCCCACAACCTCTTAGGTTGGCCCTGCACCACTCAGACCCGGGAGTACAGGGCCCTGGGAGGGGCAAGGCCGGCTGAGTGATCTGGCAGAGATGGAGAAGGCAGCCAAGCTCCCTGGCCCGGCAGAAGCTCTGTCCCTTCAGCCTTTCCCCTCTTTCCTGGGGCTTGGCCTGCTCCCTTCCCCTTAACCCTCGGAGTATTTGGGGGAGGGGCAGCTTGGCCATCTCTGGTTTCTGGGGAAGATGGCCAGGCAGGCAAGCTGGGCAAGGCGCTGCTGCAGAGGCTCCTACCCCCTCCCCAGACACCCCTCCCTGCATGCACATCTGATGGGGAAGGGGAGGGTGAGCCAGGGACACATGTGCACCCGGCACCCTTACTTCACACACAGCCACACCTAGCACCCATGACACACTCACCCCCTCACCCTTCACACAGCCTTGCACACAAGTGCGCTCACACACACCCTCAGTCCTGCCGAGCACCCTCCCTCCTACATGGGTTCATGTGAGCTCTCAGCCCCCCACCCCCATACACACGCCCCTACCTCACAGACACACACAGAATATACAGTCACACTGAGAGGCACACACCCCTACACACATTCACATACTCCCTACAGACACACATCACACATCATCCCCGCCACACACACCCTGCAGGCGCGTACACACACACACACACACACACACACACACACACACACACACACACACTCCCCCTGCACGGACTGGCCGACCTGCTCCTCTCGCTCCCTCCCGGCGGCGTCTCCTCTGCCAAGTCCCGGAGAAGGGGAGGCCCCGGCCCCGGCGCCCAGCTGGGCGTTCTGGGATGGAGAGGCCTGCGCCGCCAGGATCTGTCAGGGACAAACGATGCTTCTGCCTTTCCCTGGGCCAGCAGTGAGCCACCGGAAGGGAGACAGCCATCTGGAGCCATTCGGTACCCTACACACAAGGGGTCCTGGGAGGGCAGCAGGCCTCCAACAGCAAGCAGACACCCCCTGGGTACAAAGGGGGAGCTCTGGGGAGGGAGGACAGCCGGGGTGGCCCATGGAGGAAGCTGCAGCCACAGAGGAGCCGGTGAGGAGCCACAGAGCAGTCTGCTTCCCCTCTGCTGGGCCCAGAGCGCCCGGAGTCCTCAGGCAGGTGGGGCTGCTGGGAGGAAGGGGGATTAGAGCTCCTGTGGCTGTTAGCTGCTGAGGGAGCCTGGGGACGACCGCTGCTCCTCTCTGATGTTGGGCCCGAGGTCACTGTAGGTCATGAAGCAAGGGAGAGCCAGGACACACTGGAGCCTGCACCAGTCTCTCACTGCCTCTACCTTGACCAGCTGCAGAAGAGCTGGAGCCCTGGTTACAGACATACACACACACACACACACACACACACACACACACCTGGCCCAGGACACACACACACACACACACACACACACCTGGCCCCAGAATGTCACCCCCATGGAAGAAGACCCACTACGTTTATTACGCTGTGAGTAGAAGTGTAATAGGCACCTACTTCTACACCTTTTATCTCGCGAGTCCTCACCACAAGACTGTGTGTGATCCCATTTCACAGATAGGTAAATTAAGGCTCAGAAAATGAACGCATTTGCCCAAGTTTCACAGTTTGCAGAGACTTGAACCCAGTCTCTCGGCTGCTCTCTCCACCACCTGCGGACTTTCAACAGTTGTACTGCTACACGGAGCGCCTCTCCTAGGCACAGGTGGACTGGCGAGTGTCAGTTCATGTGTGTATTATTTCTTTTGTTGTTGTTTTTGTTGTTAGAACTGATTTCTCAAAAGTACTTAGAATTTCAGAAATGTCTGCCAGAGAGAATGGTGAGCTAAGCTTACAACGTGTTTCCAATCAGGGGCAGGAGGAAAACAGGGAAGTCAAAGAAAGTGTGCAGCCTCAGGAATCCGAGAGCCCAGGCAAAGGCTGCCTGGGGGTGAAGATGACTCAAGAGCAGGGTGGTCACTGTGAATACTTCATGGTCCTTGTTATGCTGTCACCGTGAGTGATTTAAGTAGGACTGACTCATTTATGTTGTCTTGAGTCTCTAAATCCCTTCAGGTGTTCCTCCAAAAATGCTAGTGTTTAAAAGTGTAAGGGTGTGTGTGTGTGTGTGTGCGCGTGTGTGACATAAAACACGGGAGGCTCCCGGCACCACAGAAAGCTGTCCCTCAAATCCAGACATCCTACTGTGTGCCAGGAACCATGCTGGATGCTTTCGGAGTCCCCTCACTTATTCCTTATCACAAGCCACACAGAGAGAAAAGTTATTGTCACCATGTTACACCTTTGTATGTGATCCTGACCCCGCCCTAGCTGCTCTCCAAGGCTCTCCAGGGGGTGCTTACAGAGCTACCTAGGACAGGTTCTGTCTCGGGTATAGCGAGCTGGCATAGCGCTTTGCCCGTGGTACAGGCTCAGTGAATATTAGATGCCTGCATAACAAACAAATGAATGATTCTGGGGACCAAATGAGCACTGGGTTTCATGTTAGAAAGGCATCCAATTTGACTTTGGGTGCAAAATACAGAATATGTACTATAGAAGTATACACTTGAAATCTACATGGTTTTATTAACCAATGTCACCCCAATACATTTAATAAAAAAATTTTTAAATAAAAAAGGAATCCAGGACTCAGTTTTTTATCACAGAATCCCCCCAACTGATATAAGATAAAATCAGACCACCACTGAGGCCCTCTCCAGGGGATGTCAAGTGAAGCCTGAGACTTATTGTGGGTCCTTAGGCAAAACATTGCAAAGGGCATCCCCTCACAGTTCACCATAGCATCTGGTCCTTTAGGGGCTGCCTGGAGGCTGCATACTGGGAGCCAGCCCCTGGCTTTCTCTCATATACTGAATAAAAATGATCTCGCTAGAGACATTTTCCTTGAATCCTCCTCACAGAAAGGCTCATTTCCTGCTAGTCGTGTTCACTTAATGACTTCTAAATGGAAAGACAGACATAAACAAACCCCACTACATTAAAATAGCAATCCTCCATGACCAACTAGGGTTATTCCCAGGAATTATATTTAAAAAAATATATTGAAAAGGAGAATGAGGGCTCTGGGTTAAGATGGCAGTTGAATGAATACTTCTAATTTCACTCCCTCCCCAAACCCCACTAAAATGTCAATAAAGAGAATTTTAAATCAAGAGATAAACCTACAAGGATGGAGCAAACAGGAAAAAAAAGACAACAGCCACGAAAGTTTTGCAGGAGGTTGGCAGACACCCATGAGGTTACTGACTTATCAGCCCTGAAGAAACAGACGTGTCAGCTGGTAGTGGAGGGAATCGAGAGCCAACCTGACTTACAGTCCAAGGTTCTCAGAAGGCACAGAACTTGGCAATCCAAGGTACCTCTGGAACTGTGGGAGAGGTGGCTAATACAAGGACCCCCACTAAAATGTCAATAAAGAGAATTTTAAACCTACAAGGATGGAGCAAACAGGAAAAAAAAGACAACAGCCACGAAAGTTTTGCAGGAGGTTGGCAGACACCCACGCGGTTACTGACTTATCAGCCCTGAAGAAACAGACGTGTCAGCTGGTAGTGGAGGGAATCGAGAGCCAACCTGACTTACAGTCCAAGGTTCTCAGAAGGCACAGAACTTGGCAATCCAAGGTACCTCTGGAACTGTGGGAGAGGTGGCTAATACAAGGACCAACAAGTGAAGGAGTTAGAACTCCAAGTCACTGGGGAACAGCCCCTCCTCTGTCCCAGCGAGGCTGGGGGATTTACTCTGAAGAAGGTAAAATGGAGGGTATTGGGTTGGAGAAGCTTCAAGTACGGTTATGAACGGAGATAGTATGCTGAACAACGTGAAAGCAAGAGGATCACATGTCATGTGAGATGCTGAGTGCAGAGACCCGATTCTTCTCCCACCATTGGTTGTAGGTTCAATCCCCAAAGCACTGGGAGCAGGACCTTTGGCATCTAGGCAGGAGACTGGAAGACTCTACTCTGGGGTATGTCACTAGTCCAAAAGGAAAGACCTAAAGATACTGACATAGGCGTTTTCCCAGCTCAATCGCCCAACAGTGGCAACCCCAACCTATGAGCTAGTCTTTGACTAGCTTCCCTCCCACCCCTACAACCTTATTCATGGCCAAAGATCACCAGATGTCCAGGAAATTTTCTAATGCAGAAGAGAGAGACAAAACAAACAACCAGAAAAGTAACTTGGAGGAAACAAGTTATACAGAGAAAAGAAAGTGTCCAAAAGACCACCGTTAATAGCCTTAGAGAGACAAGGGAAGATATACTACCCATGAAATAACAACAATTTGCTATACAAAGGAATATCCAGAGAATAGCAACAGCAACAATTATGTCTTGAAAAATAAAATCACAACAGCAGAGGCAATAACACCTGCAGAAAGATAGGAAGATAAGGCTGATTAAATCTCCCTAGAAAGTAAAGCATACATACTAAGAGATAGAACATATAGGACAGAAAAGATAAGAGCCTTAGAGGACCATGCTAGGAGTTCAACATCAAAATAATAGAAGTGTTAGCCATAGTCGGTGGACTGAAGGGTCTGGGTTTGATTTCGGTCAAGGACACATACCTGGTTGCAGGTTCAATCCCCAGCCTCAGCCAGCTCTCTCTGTTTCCCCCACCCCTTCCACTCTTTCTAAAATTCAATGGAAAAATATCCTCAAGTGATGAATAAGAAAAACAAAACAAAACAAAACAAAACAAAGAAGTGACATTTGTGGACCAAAAACTCAGAGCCACTGTTCTAGACTTGCCTACATTAACTCCAGTAATCATTATTATTATAGAAGTTTCAGAAAGAAAAAAAAACAGAGGAAAATGGAAGGGAGAAAATCACCAATGAACTTATGTGAGGACATTTTCCAGAACAGAAGGACATGAGTTGCCAGATCATAAGGGTGGGTTCACCAAGACCCAAGATCGTGGATGAAAATAAACCCACACCGAGGCAACACTAGTAGTTAAAAGCAATGCTTTCAAAATGCTGAAAAATAATTACTTTCAATCTCGAGTTTCTATCCAGTCAAGCTATCAAGTAAAATGATAGAGTATATACATTTTCAGACCTGTAAGATTTCAGAAAGCTTACCTCCCATGCACAGTTTCTGGAAAAGGTACTAGAGAAAGTGCTCTACCGAAACCAGAAAGTAAATCAAGAAAGAACACGTGGGACACAGGAGACCCACCACAGGCAGAGGCGACGAGAGCTCCGTGGAAGGTGGGGAAGGGGACCCCAGGATGTTAGCTGTACTCCACAGGCACCAGTTCAGATGGGAGCAGTGCAGCTGATCAGGAGATGTTGATGGCAGGGGACCAGCTTTGGAATCTCAGGGCAGAATATTTGGGTGAGCCTGCTCCAATTCTTCCTTGTACTTGCCTTGTTTTGACCAAGTGCACTGAGGTTACTGTTCTCCCCTCCGGCCCTGCTGCCTGCTCAGGAAATGTTCCATGTTGACCTGCCCCTGAGAGAAGGAGATAGGAGTGCGCTCAGAAGCAGAGAGCACAAAGCAGCCCACTGCCCCTGACAATATTCCATCCAGCTGTCCAAGGTCTGGTTGATACTACAGCCCTTGCTTCAGTGAGGTCTGTGTTTCCAGGACTCCCTCATGACCTTGCCCACGATGGGCCCAGTAAAGGTCCTTGTAAACTCTCAGAAAAGCCGAAGCCACATCAAGATCCAGAGGCTCTGTGGCATCTCTTCTCCCGAAGTCTTCACCTAGCATGAGCTTGTCCTTTCCTTTCAGTTAGGACTATGCTTGCTTCTCAGCATTATTTGCGAATATACACATATGTGGTGAAAT